TAACCGTAACACCAACACTAACGCTAACACTATCATTTAACCCCAAACGCTGATCTTAAGACCAATCTTAAGCTTAACCCCAAACTTCTCCCTTAATCCCAACACTAACCCCAACCCTAACGTTAATCGTAAGCCAACTCTTACACTAACACCAGCCTCAACTTTAACCACAACTCCACCCTGACCTTAATCATTACCTAACCCTACTATTACACCAAAAATTACCCTAACCACAACCCTAAATCTACCTTACACAAACACTAATCCTAAACCTAACCCTAATCCCAAGTGTAAACCTAAAACTTACCTAACCATAACCCCAACTCTACCTTTAATCCTTCCTCTACACCTAGTGTTACACCTTAAACCTTACCCTATCCCTTAAACCTCAACCCTAATCCTAAACCTAAACCCTTATCCAACCATAACCTCAACGATAAATTTAATCCTTACTGTACATCTAGGCCTACCCCTTAACCCTAATCCTATCCCTTAACCCTCAACCCTAATCCTAAACTTAATCCTTATCCGACCACAATCGCAACTTTACGCCATTACACTACACCTAGATTTACCCCTTAACCCTAACCCTATACCTTAACCCCCAACCCTAGTCCTAAACCTAAACCCTTACCCAACCATAACCCCAACTTTATCTTTAATCCTTACTCTACATCTAGCCTTACCCCTTAACAATAATCCTATCACTTAACCCCCAACCTTAATCCTAAACGTAACCTTTACCCAACCCTAACCCCAACTCTAACATTAATCGTTATTCTACACCTAGCCTTACCCCTTAACCATAACCCTATGCCTTAGCCCCCAACCCTAATCCTAAATCTAATTCTTACCCAACCATAACTCGAACTATAACTTTAATCCTTATTCTACACCTAGCCTTACCCCTTAACTCTCACCGCATCTCTTCATCCCCAACCCTAATTCTGAGTATATTCTCAAAATTATTTTATCCAAAGAGCAATTGTTAAGGTGAATAAAGTTATTGCTCTATGAAAAAGTAATTGTCAGAGTGTTATTATGGTGTTAGTCATGCAGTTCATGCTAATTAACCAATAGCTGGGGGAGAAGTGGTGGATTCATACCTTTCCTAAGGGTATACGCGCCTAAATGAATATAACGAACCCAACCGAAATTGGAACTCGCCTCTCCGATTAATAATTCCGAGCTATTATCCATTACACCATCCGCACATCCAAGCTTACAGCACCTGGTATTCCTAAGCAATCGCGCATCTAGGTACTGAATACGCTTCACGTTGCTTAAATCCAGTGAGCGTAAGCGAGTTGGTATTTCAACGTGGTGTGGCAGTAAACCATAATTAAAACGAAAATACGCATCAGACTACACTTTAATAATGAATGTTCTTTTTTCTTTACTCGTTCGTGTAACTTTTTCCGCATATTAGTTGTTAAGAAAATACAGAAAAGCTTTATGCAGTGTCGACTTATACACGGTTCTACAGACGGAACAGGAAGCCCAAATCTGATCTAGAACGTGAAATAGATACAGTCACATTTTTAAATCATTTCACTCCAATCAAGGCAATAAAGTCACTAGGACGCAAGTGGGTTACTGATCATACAGAAACCGGTGCTTTAACGTGATGTGTTCCTTTCGGGTGTGCACTCTTGGGAGATAAGTGCGATTTTGTAAACAATGACTAATACTATTAATATTATAAGCTCTTCCCTGAATTGAGCACTGTCAGTCATTGGCGTGTTTATTCACAGAATAAGTTCGTCAAAATTCACCTTCTTTCAAACATGCGCCAATGGCTTAGTGAAAAAATCGACTGTTGTTGAGTCAGTTGGGTTTCGATTCCGGCTTGGAGCAATCGGATGTTTAGCCACACTGATGAGCTGTGGTAGAGCAAAACAGTCTGCCTGTGAATGAAAATTTATATATATATATATATATATATATATATATATATATATATATATATATATATATATATATATTAAAGAGAAGCCATATTTTGAAAATACAGTCTGATATAAAAAATCAACATTATAAATAAAAACGTTTACAGATTCTCTTTTCTTTTAAAATATACACTTTTCTCTCGTTGGATCAACTATAATCTCCCTTATATATATATATATATATATATATTGGTTGGGGTTATATATATATATATATATATATACATATATATATATATATATATATATATATATATATATATATATATATATACAAATATAGGTAACTATATTCGTTTCGAAAAACATTCGAATTTTTGATTTGCCAATAATCAAATCAATCTCGAGGGAAAAAAGGTTTTAAAAAAAAGAAAGAGCTAGAAACATGAAAGTCTGTCGAAAAAAATCGCACGGATACAGGTTTGAAGCCCAAAGAAAACAACCCGACACGAGTAAACAACTAAGTAACTAAAAGAGCTCAATACAACCGTAGAGCAGACTACGATCCGCTTAGGTGAAACCTGGGCAGGTTTGTCTGGCTCACTAGGTTTATATATATATATATATATATATATATATATATATATATATATATATATATATAGTAGGATATTACACCGAAAACATGTCAAAATTGCTACACAATTGCAGTCGTGTTCAATGCATATAAATGCATCTACTCAGGCGATTGTAAATTACTGGCGGATGAGCGATTTATTTAGATTTAGAAGCAAAATACAACCTCTTTTTACGAAAAGAAAAAAGAAAAAGGTGGAGTTACAAGGTTTATGAGATTTACTTTGATCAACCAATCAAATATGAGCTACGTTAAATTTAAATTAATCAAAGAAGCAAAAGTTAAAACTTATTTTTTATAAATGGGTCATGAGTCGTAGATTGGCATCTAATGGCAGCCGGACATAAACTTAAAATGGATACATATGGTTACATAAAATATACAAACCAGACAATCCATTTTCCTAAGAAATAAAGTGGGGGAGGATTAATTTAACAAAATGTTAAATAAGTTATATGTTTTTAAATTTCCTACATATACTTTTGTACGTGATAAATAAGTGGATATTTTTTAAAAACTCGTAAATAATTTAAATATATAGAATTATTTGGTAAATCAATACTCAACTGTTAAATAACGATCCTTCATATAAGATGTTAAGAACACTAACCAATCAATGTAAAATGTCAAAAATACCAACCAAATGCCAATGCATCTGTACAAAATCTTACTAATACTACCAGGAAATTAATACAAAATTATATTAAATCCACATTAATCTTACAAAGAGAAAGATAAGCCATATATAGTGTAAACTATATAAGAAAAAGCATTATCAAAATATAAGAAAAAGCAAATTCCAAAGTTTAACTAAATTGTAAGGTAAAATGTAAACTATGCTTACAATTTACAGTTAATTCACTTCCTAGATTTAATAATGAATTTTTGCCAAAAATCAGATGAATTCGAGTTTTTCATGTAAACCCAGAAAACAAGTCTAATATAAAGATTTACATGGGCTTGCCGTTTTTTAAATTTTCCATTTCACCTTAGGAGTCTTATTATCATTTTTTAAACTCCAAAAAATTTAAAAAGTGATGTATTATTTCTGTAGGTAAATTGGTAAAGTACATGATATGTTGATACCACCTAGTCTTAAATGAATTCTTAGTACTACCAATATATAATTTTTCAACCGTCGGATTCTCCATTGTAGAAATAGTACTATGATAAAAAAAGAGATTTGCTTAAAACATTTGTTTAGTATTGGGCATTGGTCAGGATTCCTACAAATACATTGGCCAATATCATTAATAATATTTATCTTGCAACATGTCTTATTATCCAGATTATTGGTTTGATATTTTATTATTGTGTAAGTTTATAATCTTCTCAAGATTATTGTTGCGATTATAACTTAGTTTTAATGTGTTTCTGTTAGATATTATACTAAGAGGGTTACTTTTAGGAAAATATTTATCAATCAAATGGAGAAACTTCTGGACTAATTTAATACTGACTAATTGATTAAATGGCGGCGTGCTCTACTCTGTATTGAGTCATTTTTTTAAATTTAAATGTTACGAACGTTGGAGTTATACTCTATTCGTTCCTATATATATATATATATATATATATATATATATATATATATATAGTGATTGAAAAGTAATTCCCAATTTTATGTATGAGGGACTCTCACGTCTAACTATATTTTTTACAAGAGTTACTTTTCACTTACCCTGCATATATTTATTTAGACCTATTTTATTTATTTATATTTTTTTTTTACCTTACCCCTCCCTTGTATATATATATATATATATATATATATATAAAATTGTGCGTTGTAAATGATGTAAATGATTTGTGCTACCGATGAAGAAAATTATAGCTCTGTTACTCTACATAAAGCATTGCTTCAGCAACAACATCACCCAGTGTGTGAATTTTATATTTCTTTATATATATATATATATATATATATATATATATATATATATGTGTGTGTGTGTTTTTGTTTGTGTGTGTGTGTGTGTGTGTGTGTGTGTGTGTGTGTGTGTGTGCACTGAGTTTCCCATTATTAACCACTTCATGTTTTATTGATATGTAAAATCCATATACGCGAAATTAAAAGGCTTATTTGCTTAATGATGCCAACATCTGTCTGCGCAGTTAGGATGAAAGGCAGCTGGTTTCTGCGCAGATATAAATACACTTCGGCCAGTTGAATGGAAAATCCGGATTCTGAATACTCGAATTATTATCCAGGTTGCGAGTTTGAACCTTTAAAATAGAGACCCCCCAACCCCGTTGCAAGAAGCCAAACGCTTTCAATACGATGATTTTTATTCCCAACCCGGTTCTCTAACACTAGGCGAAGAAATCTAATGAATATATGAATAAAATGGCTTTCAAAGAAATTGCTTCAATGAAGTGACCTATTTGTTCGTCTGACCTTAACTCGATTCAAAACTTATAGAGCATTCTGAAAGGAAGGTTGGCAATTTGCCAGAAAAGAGGAAATTTTGGAAATGCTATGCTTAGCGCTGTGCAACCTGTTGCATATTGTTAAATGCAAAGCTTACGAAATCATGTGAGTGGCTTCCAAAACTAGATTAAGAACATGTAGGATTTTTTTAATCATTTTACCTCAAGCAAACCAATAAAGCCATTAAGACATATTCTCTCACACTCCTGAGTGTGAGAGATTATGAGAAAAAGAAATATTAAGTTTAGAGCAGTGATTCTCAGTGTGGTCCAGGTGGTCCACCGGTCGTCCACATAACATTTCGAGTGGTCCACAGAGAATTCGTAGCCATAAAAAATTGCAGCCATTTCACAAAAATGTATCTAAATTATTCGTACTTTGAAGGATTAAAAAAAATTAATATTTTGTTTAATTACACACATGTCCATTATATTTGAAAATTTCGAAATTACGTAGATATTAAGCAGTGTTATATTTATTTTATTTTTATCTTATATATTTATTATTATATATATATATATATATATATATATATGAAGAAATATAAGGTGTGGTATATTTATTGGATAAAGTGCTCAATATCAGAGATAGTGTGTATGTAAATATAAATATAAATGTGAACGTTGAAGTCAACATTCAGAGGTGACAGGCAATTGATTGCGTCAAGCATGAAACAGCCACATCTTGTGCCACATCTGCCCTTTTGGGTGGGAGCTATTAGACATGGACTAACTGAAATCTTTTCAGAATAGACAGTCGAACTCTCTTCCTTCGCGCAGAGAGGAACCCGAACGAGGCTCTGCCGTAGACTCTGCAAAAAATATTCCCTTTCGAACTGGTATAAACGGGTTCAGAGTCTGTCTACCTTCCCGAACGAGACTCTGTCCTCCGGCAGAGCCTCGTCGGAGTTCCTCTCTGCCCGAAGGCATAGAGTTCGACTGTATAACCGAAAAAGATTTAGGCTAGTTAATATTTACTAGCTACTTTGGTAGATGTGGCACAAAGTTGAGTTTAACGTGAGTTTTCCGATCTCGTAGAATCGGCAAAAGATATTCTCTTTCGAACCCGTATAAATTGGTTCAGGATCAGTCTACCTCGCCTCTGAGTGTTAACTTCAATGTTCACTTTTATACACACACACACACACACACACACACATATATATATATATATATATATATATATATATATATATATATTCAAATAAAAAATATAATATTGTAATAGACAGAATGACAAAATGATATCTTGCGTCAGAAACATCATGATCAAGGTAGTCACTAGGTGAATGGTTAAAGTAGGGGTGGTCCATTTGAATTATTTGAAGAAAAAAAATGATCCATGGGAGGAAAAAAGTTTGAGAAGCTCTAGAGTAAAGAACAATAACAGAACAAGAATTAAGAAGGCAGAAGTTAACGCTTAACTGATACTTTTCAAGGCCAAAGTTGATTGGAAATCAAAAAAAGCGGGAAGAGAGTTCCACAAGTGAGATTGACAAGAGAAGAAACTATTATCATAGAACTTACGGTTCTATCGAATAATTTAAACTGTGAAATGTTGTGACCTATTTTCCAATCTAATACTGTAATTAAATTCGTAAAGTCGAGATACCAAAGAGGAAAGGTGATCATATGAATTACCATGAACACATTTATAGAAAAGGCACAGGGAAACTACGTTACGACATTGGGAAAATGATTGAAGACAAGATGCCAGGTCAGGACGGATAACATAGCAGATTATCCTTCTGAATCTCTAAATACATAGCCGAAGCACTAGACGTGATTCAACAGAAATATTCAATGCATGGACGAATGTCTTTTAGCTTCTTTCTTTCCTGGAGGTGAATCATCAGAATCAACTATTCTTTCATTATTGACTTTATGTCAAAACATGGAAATATTCTAATTGTATATCTACTCTTACAAAAATTATATAAAATCTTTCCAATGATAAAAATTATTAAACCCAACTACATCTAAAATAATTTCTTTAACCATTTCACTTTAACCAAGGAAATAAAGCCACTAAAGCACAAGGTGTTGCTGAGTGTGAGGGAATATAGAAAAAAACAAAACCAAAAAAAAAACATTATTAAAGAGAGGGAGGCACGGATTGGGGAATCGGAGAGCCGAGTTCGAATTTTAATCGAATCCATTACATTCACTTACGTGTTATCAACCTAGGAAATGTATGGATCCTCTTCTTCTCCCCCCAGCTATGGGTAAATAGCAGGACAGACCGGGTTATATAGTCTTGGATGGCAACTGGTCTACCGCAGAAAGAAATGACAACCTACTGCTGGAAAAAAATTGCCTCGTCAGCGTGTATTACGCATGGCACACAACTGACTGATTAAAGAAATAGAACAATAAAAAATATATATAAGAAGAAATGGCCTAACGATTGGCATTGCATTTAAATTTTTTAAGTTCAAAATTGACGGCAATGCGAGAAACCGGAAGAATACCACAAATGAGAGGAGTGAGAGAAGAAACTGTTAGCATAGAACTTCCGGTTACATCTAGCCATTTCTACTGTGCGATTGTTAAGTCCTAGCTGCTAATTTAGTAGTAAGCTTAAATTCATAAAGTCTATGTTAATGGTATCTTTATAAATTTATCTAATTAATGGTATCTTTATAAATTTATCTAATTAATGCTATCTTTATAAATTTATTGTTCTTTTTAAAATAATGGAGTTTTTTAAAAAAATAATCGTCATTAAAATAATACTATAGGATTAGTAAACTTTTCTCTAATGAATATATATTTTTAATGAAAACAAAGAACTATACGACAGGGCACTCCAAAAAAAAAAGAAAAAAAGAAAAGCGGGTTTAAAAAAAACCACTCATACTCGGACCCCAAAAGCAACTCTAATAGGAATAAGAGTAAAGATAAACGTAAAAATGGGAAAAGAATTAAAATGTGGCTCAAACCCTACCTTCTGTAGGTTATCCAAATTTAATTTAAAAATTTGGGGCAATTTAGATATAATTTTTATTAAAGCATAATTTCTTTTTTTACGAATCTGAAACGTTGAAAATCCAGAGCATTTCCTGAAAATGTTGCCACATCGTAAAAGTGACAGTTATTAGGTAGGTGCAAAAATAATGTCGTTTTCTCGCATATGGTAATTTTATATATGATTTCTAAATTAATTCATTGATATATATAGCCATGTTATATATCATTTTGAAGCGCGTTTTTCGCTCTATCGAATCGTGTTATTCGTCACCGTTCTCAATCTCTTCATTTAATTTTTTTGCAGGCTTTTCGACAGCATGGACAAAATTCAAATCCGCACGATTTTCTTGTTCCAGTTCAAACTAGGCCGGAAAGCTGCCGAGACAGCTCGTGATATCAATGATGCGTTTGGCCCAGGAACCACTAACGAATGTGTGGCACAACGGTGGTTCAAGAAATTTCGCAATGGTGACGAGAGCCTCGAAGATGAAGACTGTCGCGGCCGGCCGACTGCGGTTGATAACGAACATTTGAAAGCCTTAATTGAAGCCGATCCTCGCAAAACCACACGAGAAGTTGCTGTTGAACTCGAGGTCGACCACTCAACAGTCGTTCGCCATTTAAAGCAAACAGGGAAGTCAAAAAAGTTGGATAAATGGGTGCCGCATGAATTGAACGATAATCAAAAAAATCGTCGTTTTGAGGTGTCTTCTACGCTCCTTCTGCGCAACAAAAACGACCCATTTCTCGAGCGGATTGTGACGTGTGATGAGAAGTGGATCCTCTACGACAACCGGCGACGTTCGGCACAGTGGTTGGATGCCGGAAAAGCTCCACAACACTTCCCGAAGCCGAAATTGCACCAAAAAAAGGTTATGGTGACTGTTTGGTGGTCTGCGGCCGGTCTCATCCATCACAGCTTCGTGAATCCGGGCAAAACGATTACAGCGGAGAAGTACTGCCGACAAATTGACGAAATGCACCAGAAGCTCTAACGTATGTGCCCGAGATTGGTCAATATGAAGGGACCAATTCTCCTCCATGACAACGCTCGCCTGCATGTTGCCCAGCTGACCCTGCAGAAGCTGAATGAATTGGGCTACGAGACTCTGCCTCATCCGCCATATTCACCGGACCTCTCGCCCACCGATTATCACTTTTTCCAGCATCTCGACAACTTCCTGTGCGAAAAATGCTTCAAAAGCCGAGATGATGCCGAATCGGCCTTCAATGACTTCATCGCTTCCAGAACTCCGGATTTCTATGCTAATGGGATAAATAAACTTGTTTCTCGTTGGGAAAAATGTGTCGATTCTAATGATTCTTATTTCGATTAATAAAGTTTATTATAAAAGGAGTTATGATCTTTTGAAGCTGAACGTCAAAAACGACTATATTTTTGCACCAACCTAATAATTCATCCATATTATGTTTGTTAGGAGAGAGAGAGAGAGGGGGGGGGAGAGGGGAGAGAGTGAGGGGGGAGAGATTATTATACGAAAGGATAACTTCTAAAATATAAATGTTTCGCTCTTTCTGCTTTAATGCGCTTGTGCCACTTTTTATGATTTTCTGTTCATTTACATTTTCATT